TACACAACCTGCTAGATTTGAGCAGTACAGTCTGTCCTGCATCCTGCACTGGGTGTATGCATTGTGTGTGTGCATGGACTAATTTGATCTCTACAGCAGCTAAAAGCAGAAGCACAGTGTTTCCAGTCATGCAGGGCAGCAGCATGTGCCAGCTGATATGGAGACTCTGACCTATTTGGTCGTGCTGCTTCTGTTCAGTCTGATTGTTTGACGACAGAAGCATGTATTTTGTCTAGTTTCACTGCAGGAACAAAGATGCTAATTGCCACATAACGATGCAGCCGGCAGCAATACATGACAAACAAATCAAACAATTTTCATCTGTACATTATATACTGTATATACAAAAAGTGTTTGAAGTAAATGCTGCTTACTGCTACATTGTGTGCACGTTGAACAAATATTGTCCCTAGCGCCATTAGCCCATGTTGTCTCGTGGCCATGTTGTGAGATCAGAGCAGAAACATCAGAGGAGTTATTGGAATTTAAAATCCATGTTTGCTAATCCAAAACATGGCCTGTTACACAATGGCAGGACTTGTGTACAGTGCATACCATGGATGCCTGCAGGAGAGGTACCCTATCAGTCACTCCAGCTGTTTTGATGTGTGGCACAGAGGCCTCCCTGTCCCCCTGCACAAGCCCGGTATGTGCAGCCTTTGAGATTGCCGACTGTGGGAAAGACCAGCGCCTCCTCGCTGCCCTGTTCCTCCCCAGTCGCTCCAGTCGCCTAATGAGTATTGGCATTTGTGATCTCTTGAATGCAGCATGAAAGACATCTTTCTGACAGCTCTGCTTACTGTCACCAAGAAAGCACCACGCACCAACAACTTCAAGGGCATTTTTACAAACAGAATGCAACAAACTGTTTTGATTTGTCTTTCACTTTGTGTACAGTGTGCAGATGCAGATGTAAATATATGTTGCTTATTATTTCCACCACTGCTGCACTCTCGGGAGCCATGAGAACTTGCCGAAGGTGTTGCAAGATTTTCTTTTTTTTTTATACATGTATAAAGGTGAAGCTGAACTTAATTTATTTTTTATATTACGTTTGATATTAAAGATGAAATGCAGCCTGAGATTAAGAGTCAAAGCTGCCTGGTTTAGTTTTTTTTAGCCGTGCTGATTCTAGAGATGGTCAGTGTTGGTCGGTCCACCACTTCAGACTGAAATATATCACAAATATTGCTTCGAAATTTTACACAGACTATTATATTCCCCTCATCCACTCCTTCTTCAGGTCAACATTACAATTTTTCCAGTTTTAGTTTATGACTGCTGTATTTGACAGAGGTGGGATCAAGCCATTGTTTTGCTAAACTTAGATGACCTAGTAAACATTGCACCTGGTTAGTGCCATGATACCATTGTCATTGTGAGCATGTTAGCATGCTGACATTAGCATTTAGTTCTAAACACCACCTCACAGAGCCGCTACCATGGCTGTAGACTCTTAGTCTTATTTTATGGAGAGGAGAAGCTAATCATCCCACACTTGACTGCCTCTATTGCAAAGAAAAACCTTCAAGTACATGCGTTTGGTGGTCGTGTCTGTTAAAACAATGAAGTTTAGAGGAATACTCCTCTGAAAAGCAATCTTGTCATACGTACAAAAGATCCATACAAACTTTTCTATAGCATAATCGTCTTCACTGTTGATCTAGGTGGTCAGTATGTTACAAAGAATCATCGTTTTGCCAGAAAATCACTAAGTAGACTTCTTTTGGTGGAGTTTTCGAGCTACAAGGTGGCAATAGCGTATCATAGAAGTGGTGTATTTACCTTTGTGGTAGAGAATCTATGTTTGGAATATACTGGGAATGGACGGATTACGAGGAAGTGGACTCCCATGTTATGGGTTCAGTATGACTGCAGTTGGTATCCTCTGTGAAGGAGCAAATTGGATGTACAAAACAGATTTTTGGTGGAGTATTTTTCAAAAAAGGGCGTGAGAAGAATGATGACAATAAAATGTCAACAGCCTTAGCTCTGACCCACAGAGATTGCATGCAGTCACTCTTGATCCTCTCCATCTCAGGCCCCCCCAACATCCTTTTTTGAGATGTCTTGAAACCCTTGATTTCAGCATGAGCAGATGGGCCTCTTTAACAACTTTTCGCTCACTTGTAGCCTATTTAGACAGCTGGTCTGTGGAGTAGATGAGTCAGGTTAAGTATCCCGCTTAACAGCTCAAATCCACAGCTTCTCCTGGGAGTCCCATCCACTGACTAATGGTTCCGCTGCACCCACTCATTTTTCCCACCAAGAAGCTCATACAGCAGTCAGCCTGGAACACATCAGACACAAACATGAATGTTCTTAAAGGTCCATTAGTGCACATATTTGCTATAAAATACGGCATGATCCTTTCTTTATAGTGAAACATCTGACAGGACTATGGAAAGGTTTTTGAGTTTGAATCAGTGTTGACTCTACAAAGTAAAAGTTTAAGCGATACATGATATGTATTGTAAGATTTGATTTTGCATGGTCAGCAAGTAGGTAATCTAGACCACACTTTGCGGTGCCTTGTGTTTATTTCTGTACAAAGCTGGCCAGCTAAGCTATAATCATTGTTAGTGAAAGGGATATCTTGATACTATTATTCCTGTTCATTGTTCCATTATGCCGTCCTCAGCCTTCAACCTGACAGTGCATTTTTAAAAGTATCCCGAGCAGCACTTCATACAGGATTACCTCACAGCCTCAAGAACACAACCACAGTCATATCTTCCTTCTTTTTTTTATAGTTTAAAAGTATGCATCCTGAACTGATTACCCGGATGTTTAAACCTATCTCCTCTTGCTCATTCCTTTCCACTCCAAATTTGCAGACCTCTTGACTGCCTGAGGATGAGATGTAGAGGTTAAAGCGTCTTAGGCCATGTTACCTCCACTGAGTCCTATAGGGTCTCACAATCTTGCTAACAGCTGGTGTTGTTGAGTGTAAGCTGCGAGAGATAACTTTTCCTCCATGTTTGTGTGCCTCCAAAATGAGCCGAAATCCTTTAAATGGGTTGTGATGTGAAAATCGATACACTGATCGATAGAATTAAGTACACCTGACAGACTTTTTTAGTCTGTCATATGCTCTTTCATCAAATGTAGTGGCTGCAGATCAGCCTCGCACAGTTTCTTGAGGTTTCTCCTGCAGAGTAAACTGGGCAAGCTGTGGCACTTGTAATGGACTATTCAATCTTTAACGTTTTTGCAGGGAAGTCGTCGTCTGCTGGGTTTGTTTGTATTGTTTGGTTTAATGGCCAGATGTTTCTGGTTGTCCATGGTGCTTCCCATCAGTCCTTCAGTGTTTGACAGCCACAGCAGATCATGAGGCAGCGTGACCTGTTGTTTAACATGAACACTCATCTCTCTCTCTCTCTCT